ATACATTATGATGTGTGTGCGTGTGCGTGTGTGTGTGCGTGCAGCCCATAGTGCACTATAAAACTGGCCCTGGTAGGTCCTTCTCTTGCAGCCACTCTGATTCACCTCTGCTGACCTTCGCCTCCTTTATTTTCTTAAACCAAAGGCCTTTTCCTATGTTCTCTTATTATGTTTTGTTTAGGTAACCCGCCCCCATTTTCTCCTACCTTGTAAAGTTTTGCCTGTAAGTTCAGTTTCCATTATCACAAGAAACTGTGCTAGCCAGTGATATAAGGATAGTATTCATACCTTTTATAAAGGTATAGTTTTTTTTATTGTTTGCTTGTTTGTTTTTTTGGTAATGGGATAAAACTTGGGATGTTGCACTTGTGAGGCAGGCAGCAGAACCACTGAGCTAAATCCCTGACCCTAAAGGTATAGTATTTTATTATTGACAAAACAGCAAATTCATAAGTAAGAATTCTTACTTAATTCTTAATTATATTTATAGGTCTGCCCAAATTCAGGCTATTTTCATGGAATAGAAAAACAATCTCTGGAACTGATTATCTTGTGAAACTGTGTTGGAAAAACCTTAAATTGGGTCAGTTCTGCTACTGAAGCCTCTTTGCTGTGTGTAGCCTCAAGGAAGAAGTACAGTGGACCTTTGACTTAGGAACTCAGTTCATTCTTGAGGACTGGTTGTAACTCAAGTTGGTTGTAAGTCAAGACTATTTGTCCCTGAAGAAATAATGGAAATTCTTATAATGTGTTCCAAACCTCCCCAACCACCTTTTAATGAGGGCCAGCTTCTGGCTCTCTTGGTCCCAACCTTTTCAGAAATAAAAACTGAAGTTGTCTGCTTCTATATTTTTTAAACATTTTTCAGGGGTATGCCATGAAATTGTCATTAAGCAAGTGAATGCAACGATTGGCTTTTTCTCTGAGTGAGTCATCTCTGCAAATATCTGTAGCTCTGTAAATTTTTTCAGAATTTGCTTTATTTCAGAAGAACTGTGCTACACTGACTATTGATTCTCCTCTTCCTCTTCAGAAAGCCCCTCAGCTGCCATTCGGTGTTGCTCAGCCAGGAGTTGCTGAAGCTCCTCTGTAGACAGCTCCTCTGCATGTCCCTCCCCCAGGTCCTCGGCATCACCACTACCTGTCAGCCTATGGACACTGCGAAAGGGACAGTGGCATCAACCCCAGGCTCTGTTGAAGGCTCAGACTCCTCAAAGCAACCTTCAAAGTCTCTCTTATGTGTAATTTTGGGCCACATTTTCTTCCAGGCAGATCTCAGTATCCTTAGAGAGACATTGGCCCAGGATTTCTCTGTTAACCTCACACAGGAAAGACCAGCATTCAGGTCATAACTGAAGACCCTAAGTCTTCAGGTACATTAAAGCTTACCTGGTTGTAACCCAAGTTGTTCATACGTGAGGCTGGTTGTAGCCTGAGGGTCCACAGTAGTCTTACTCCTAGGTTAGGTTTCATTTTCGTTCTCTTGATTTCAAATCAGTTTCACTTTTCAATTTCCTTTTCCCATTCAAAAAGGCAATTACCACTTAGAAACCCAGAGAAAGCATCAGCTGGTACATTAAGCCCGCCTCCTACCCCCTCACTATTTAGTCTCTCCAGCACTTACTGCAGGCAGACCAGAAAGATTTCTGCAGAGCAAAAAAAGACCAGACTGGTCTGCATCTTTGTTCAACAGCTAAGAAGCAGAAGAAGCGATGAGGTTAGTGAAATGGGAATGCTTAAACCACTCCTGTTCTGGAATGCAGATTGTAAACTGAGCTTCTTACTGTGCAAGGAGGTTCTTGACTTACACATTCAACATGCCTGTATCCCTGAGGATCTTTAACAGTGGTTTGTTGATTTGATTTTTTTCTTTCTGTGGTTTTTCTGGGTGTGCATACTCAGGATCCTTAAGTTGCCAGAACTGCTCACTGGATGGAGTTCGGTAGAGCGAGAGGGAGACTAGAAAGGGTTAACTCCACACAGGCACAATGTTTGTGATTCAAAACTAGTGTTCTTTGAAAGGACCAAGCCAGAGATTTTTTTTTCTTGTGATTTTTAGAAACATTTATTTTGTCAGACATTGTGGAAGATAGAATCAGTGCACCACATCTGTCTAACTCATGTAGAACTGAAATGTTTGCTTCTTTCAAAGTTGAAAGTGGGAGAAACAGTTTCAACAGATGAACATTTTAATTTTTGTCTTATATGTAAAAAACAAGGTTTAAAACTTTTTTCACTGTGGTGATACCTGTGAACAGTAGAAAAAAATACTTCTGAAAAATATAACTCCTTAAACTGATATAATACTGGTTAGATTTTTTTAGTGAGGGAAAGCCAACCAGTGTTTGCCTAAAGATGATGCAAATGAAGTAGCAAGATATACAAAGAAATTTTTCCAAATGACAGGAATAGTCTATATGTTTAAAGGGGTATAAATATTTTTTTCCTCATTGAGTTTATTGGTACATTTTAGAGATACAGTACAGTTACATTCATCATTGGGATCTTGTACCTTTACATAACAGGTCTTGATTCTCATTTTTTCCCCTTGTCCCTGCCCTCCCATCACATGGGTATAAATATTTTTCAGGACTCATCAAACTGTACCTTAAAATGGGTGTATTTTGTGATATGTAAAGTATAACCTCAGTAAATCTGATTTTTGAAAAAGCATATAGACCTGTTAAGAGTTCTTCATTGTACAGCCTCCAAGGAACAAAGAGAAAAAAACAGTTTTGCAACAATAGAACTATAGGGAAGACTGAAGAGATTGGGCAATTGCCTGGGGATCCTATTAGCTATTCCCTCAGGGAGGTAACAAACACTGACTGCCCACTTTAGCTCCAAGAACTTGTAAAAGCTCTGCAAGGTCATGTTTGGGAATGGGAAAAGTGAAAGGAATTCACTGTAATGTGCCGCAGGTTACCTTTTCTATATAATGGGCCCCTGTCAAGAGTGATGGTAATTGTGTCTGTGTGAGTAAGTTGGCCAGAAAGCCAGACACTACCGAGTGCCTTGGTAGGCAGCCTTCACCAGAAGCTTTACAATGTCTTGTGCTCATGTGTGTATACAGCCACTTATCCCAGAAGGCCTGAGTGGAACCCTCTCAAGTATGCCGGCCTGAATGAAACCCACATCTGCATAGGGACAGAAGCAGGTTGGACTTCTCTTCCCCAGAAGTGCCAAACATTACCAGAAGGGGGAAACATCAGATATCTGCCAGCTATGAGAGTCCTCCAGGATCCCACTGAGAAACCTGCTTTTAGAATTTCTGTTATCAGGTTCCTAGGCCTAAATTATGGGGATTGCAACAGACCAGGTTCTGCCACCATCCTCCCCAAGAGTCCAATTAGAGAGACATGAGTGGTGATGACACAAGAAAGGTGTTTCTTTACTCGGTGTGACCACATGGGGGAGCAGGAAGACTAGCACCTTAATACACAGGGTGTGTTGGTGCTGATGGGAGCTTCAGGTTTATACGGGGGAGGGAACAAAACAAAGAGCAAGAAGTGTACATAGTGAGGAGCCTTGGTCAAGCTGTGGTCTGGGTCATCATTAGCTCAGGCCTGGTTCTCTGAGGTTCTTCAAGGGAAATCATCATTGCTTGGGGGACAATCTGGTTCCCAACATGAGATGATTTCTCCTATTTAGGAGGGCACTCTCACCATGGGGTGATCTGCCTTCAAGACTTACTATACCTGGAATCCTTAAAATAGCTTAGCTGTTCTTATTTTGGTGTCTTCAGTCTTGATGGAAGGTGAGAGAGGGTAGGTGAATTTAGGACTAACTGATCTTGTATTACCAGTTTTCAAACAGACAGTCTTTAATGATTAATATGTCTACGTGCAGACCTTAGCAGAATCTGACTTATAGTTTAAGGTACCAAAGAAAATTGATACAAAATGAAAGCAAAGGTGCCAAGCTTCTGTCATGCTTTTAGTTGCCAAGGAATATCTGTTGGTCCGAGTGAAGAGTCAGTGCTTTTAGCAATGCAGCCTCCGAGTTCCTATTGTATTTGCTCAAAACTGTCTTTCATAACTTGCTTCAAGATTAAATGGAGATTTGTCTATTTCTGTCATAAAGCAGTCGTACCCAACCATGCCCTCCCAAACTTCCCACTTTCCCCTCCCCTTTGAACTTTTTCTTCCTATTTCACATTATCTATTATTCATCTTGATCCTTATTTACACTTTCAGTTTCTCACACCAGAGAAACTATTTGTTAATTACACATGTGTGCCCTATTTATTTCACCTAAGAGTATCGCCTCAATGTACATCCATTTAGCTATAAATGTCTCTAATTTCTCATTCTTTATGGATGAGTAGTACTCCATTTTATATATAAAATATCAAAAACATATTTTTTTTCTAGTCTCCCATTGATGAGCAACTGGGCTGTTTCCAAGTTTTATTTATTACAAACCATGGGTGCATACATATCTTTGCGGTATGATTTTTTTTATTTTTGAGGAAGATATCTAGCAGGGAAATAGCTGGCTCAAATGGGACTTCCAATCCTAGTTCTTTAAGGTATCTCCACACTGATTTCCACAGTGGTTGCATTAGTCTACATTCCCAAGAGCTGTGGAGAAGGGTTTCTTTTTCCTTTGCCAGTACCATGCTGTTTTTATCACAGTGGCTTTGTAGTATAGTATCAAGTTGGAGATTGTAATACCCCCTGTCGTGTCTTTCTTACCTAGAATTGCTTTTGCTATTCTAGGTCTCTTCTTACTCCAAATGAATTTTTTTTCAAGGTCTGTGAAGTATGCTGCTGGAATTTCGATTGGGATTGCATCGAATCTGTATAGCAGTTTTGGAAGTATGGCTATTTTCACTATATTAGTTCTTCCTACCAGGAGCAAAGGATGTCTTTCCATTTTCTGATATCCTCTTCAATCTCTTTCAGAGACTATAGCTTTCAGAGTAGAGGTTTTTGTTTTCTTTCATTAGGTTGATTCCTCAGTATTTCATTTTTTTGCATACTATTGTGAAGGGAGTTTTCTCCAGTTCCTTTTTCAGTGAATCTGTTTGTGTATGTGTATAGGAAAGCTATTGATTTCTGTATGTTTATCTTGTATCCAGCTACTCTACTAAATTTGGTTATTAAGTTGAGAAGATGTTGATTGGAGTTCTTGGGATCCTATATGTAGAATATCATGTCATCTGAAAATAATGAAATGTCTTCTGAATGATGTCTATTAATGTCTAATTATGTCATCTGAAAGTTCTTGTCTATATTTATTCATTTTATTTCTTTCTCTTGTCTAATTGCTGTGGCTAATGTTTCCAAAACTATATTGAACAAGAGTGGTGATAGTGGACATTCTTGTCTTGTTCCTAATTTTAGTGTGAAGGATTTCAGTTTTTGACCATTTTGTCTGATATTGGCTGTTGGTTTTTCATAGATGGCTTTTATCAGGTTGAGGTAGAGACCATCTATTCCAATTTTTTGTAGGGTATTTATCATGAATGCATGTGGGATTTTGTCCAATGCTCTTTCTGCATCTACTGAGATGATTATATGATTTTTGTCCTTGCTTCTATTTGTATAGTGTATCACATTTTTTATTTGCATGTGTTGAACAATCCCTGCATCCCTGAGATGAATCCCAGTTGGTCAGGGTGTACAATCTTCTTGATGATCTTCTGCATTCTATTTCCCAGTATCTTATTAAGGATTTTTGCATCTATGTTCATTAGTGAGATTGGCCTGTAGTTTCTTTTTTCAGTTGGGTCTTTCTCTGCTTCGGGGATCAAGGTGATGCTTTCTCCCAGAAATGAAATTGATTGTTTTTGTTTTTTGGTACTGGGGATTGAACTCAGGACGTTGTGCTTGTGATGCAGGAGGCAGAACCACTGAGCTGCATCCCCAGCCCCCTGAGGATAGCAACTTTTTCTTCTTTTTTTTTTTTTGGCACTGGGGATCAAACGCAGGTCCTTGTGCTTGCAAGGAAGGTGCTGAAACCACTGAGCTAAATCCCAGCCTTCCAGGAATGAAATTGAAAGTATTGCTTCCCTTTCAATTTCACTGAAGAGGGCTGGGGATTTAGCTCAGTGATTCCACCACCTGCCTTGCAAATGCAAGGTACTGAGTTCAATCCCTGGTACCAAAAAAAAAAAATCTATTTCATTGCAGAGTTTACACAATAGTAGCAATAGTTCTTCTCTAAATGTCTTGTAGAATTCAGCAGTGAAGCCATCAAGGCCTGGACTTTCCTTATTTGGTAAGTTTTTAATTATATTTTCAATTTTCTTGATTGATATTGGGTTGTTTAGAATTTTTAGGTCCTCTTTTTTCAACTTTGGTGATTTCATACATATCTAGGAATCTCTCCATTTCTTCTGTGTTTTCCATCTTATTGACATATAGGATCTCAGAGTTGGTATTGATGATCCTCTGGATTTCTGCTGGGTCTGCTGTATTTTCACCTTTTTCATGCCTTATTGTATGGATTTGGGCCTTTTCTATCTTGTTATTGTGTGTGTGTGTGTGTGTGTGTGTGTGTGTGTGTGTTTTGTTTTGTTTGATAAGTTTGGCTGAGGATTTGTCAATTTTGTTTGTTCTTTCAAAGAAGCAACTCTTGGCTTCATTGATTTTTTGTATTGTTCTCTTAGTCTCCATTGCATTGATTTCTGCTCTAATCTTTATAATTTCCTCCCTTGTATGAGCTTTGGATTTGTCCTCCTCTTTTTTTTTAAGAAGTTTGAGATTCAACATCAGGTTGTTTATTTGGGCTCTCTTTGTTTTCCTAACATGAGTGTTCACTGCTATGAATTTCCCTTGTAAGACTGCTTTCATTGTGTCCCAATGATTCTGATATGTTGTATTGACATTGTCATTTACTTGTGGAAACTGTCTCATTACTTCTTGAATTTCCTCTGTGACCCATTGATTTATCCAGAATTGTGTTGTTCAATTTCCATCTGTTTATGAAATTTTTGTGGTTTCTTTTGCTATTGATTTCCAATTTTAGCACACTATGTCCTGATAATATACAATGGATAAATTCAGTTCCTTTGCACTTACTTAAACTTGTTCTACGAGCAAGTATGTGGTCCATTTGAAGAACAATCCTTCATGTGCAGCTGAAAATAATGTGTTTTCTGATTTTGTGGGTTGGAACACTCTGTAAACATCTGTTAAGTTCATTTGTTCAAGAGTTTGATTGAGTTGTAGTATTTCATTGTTTATTTTCTGTCTAGTGGATCTATTTGTGACAGAGAGGTATTGAGGTCCCCACTATTATTGTATTAGTGATAAATTGATTTTTCAGTTCCATTAGTATTAGTTCTATATAATTTGGTGCACGAGTGTTTGGTGCATAAACATTTATGATTGTCAACTCTTCCTCTTGAATTTTTCCCTTTACAAGAATATAGTGTCCTCCTTTGTCCCTCTTAATCAGTATTGGTTTGAATTCCATTTGATAGCTACTCCTGCTTTTTTCAGGTGCCTGTCACATGGATTACTGTTTTCCACCCTTTAACTTTCAGTCTTTGAGTTTCTTTTTTAATTAAATGTGATTCTTTTATGCAGCATATTGTTGGATCTTGCTTCTTGACCCATTCTTCCAGTCTATTTCTTTTTATTGGTGAATTGAGACCATTAGCATTGATGGTTGTAACTGGTATGTACTGACTTATCCTTGTTATTTCCTTTTCCTGTTTTTGGAACCTCCCCCTTTGCATTTAATTTCTTCTCTTGGATAATGGACTCATTCAGTTGGGCTTCCTGGGCCTGTGGTCCTCATTGTCTTTTACTAGGATATTGTTTAAATGCCAGTTTTATATTCATGAAGTTCCTCAGGTACTCTTTGTCATGAAAATATCTTATTTCTCCATCAATTTTAAAAGATAGTTTTGCAGGGTACATCAATCTGGATCGGAGGTTGTTTTCCTTTAGGGCCTGAAATATGCTAGTCCAAGCTGTTCTTGCTTTAGGGTTTGTATTGAGAGGTCTACTGTGATCCTAATGGGCTTTGTTTACTTTCTCTCCCTACATATAGAATTTCGTTCTTCTGTTGGGTTTCTGGAATCTTACTTATTATGTGCCTAGGAGTAGTTTTGTGCTGTTGTTGTTGTTGTTTGCTTTTTGTTTTTTATCATGGCTAGTTGGAGTCCTATATTCCTCACTTATCTGTATGTCAAGTTCTTTTTCGCTTCTTGGGAAGTTTTCTGCCATTACTTCTGTGGACAGGTTTTTTTTTTTTTAAATGTCGTTTGCTCTGTCTTCTGTTTCTTCATTGACTCTAATCAGTTTTATGTTATTCTTCTTTGAATTGTCTAGCAGCTACTGGATTAATTTCTCATGGTCCCTTACTATTTTTAGGAAATGTTTTCAACTGAGCTATTCCAGCTGCCTGCCTAAGAAATGTTTCTTTTCCTTGTCACTAATTGAAATCCTTTCCTCTATATCTGAAATTCTGTCCTCACATTGGCTCATTATGCTGTGAAAACTTTTTTTATTTTTTTGGTACCAGGGGTCAAACTCAGGACCTTGCACTTGTGAGGCAGGCAACAGAACCACTAAGCTAAACCCCCAGCCTTGCTGCATAAACTTTCAATGGTTTTTAATCTCCTGGAAATCTGTTTGCACCTTTTTATGGATTCCTCTTGTTTCCTATGTTGGGATTCCATCATGTTCCTCAGCTCCTCTATTTTTTTTAATCGGTGTCTACTCTACATTTATTAATCAAGTCTTGCCGTATGGACACAATCTCTGTTGTTGTTTTCTGAGAAATTATTTCTGATTTCATTTTTTTTCCAGTTCCTCTTTCATTGCCATTTCAGGTAGTACAGGTGGTTGAGTGTCAGATTGTTCCATCTTGTTGCCCTGTGCAGTTAACTTAGGTAATCTGGAGGTCTGGTTTTGAGACTTGTTTGTGTGTCTTCTCCTTTCAACTGATGCAACCTGCTGTGCCTTTGTTGAGGCAAGTTTTGCTCACACAGTGGTCTTCAATTCTCAGCAAGCCACTGAGGAGCCTTTACTCTGGTGCTCACCAGTACACCAATTCCTGGGTCCAGAATGGTGGCCTTCTGGATCCCTGCACTGTTCTGTTGTCCAGGCAGGGTTCTAGCTGAGGCCCATGCACACTTGGGACTTTATCTAGACATTCCTCTGGCTAAGGCCTGCTCTCCTACCTAGCTGTTGTCTGGGAGGGCTTTTGTTGTGGGCTGTGTGCCCTCATTGGTGGTATCTGGGAAGGCTTGTGGCTAGGGTCTGTGTGCCCTTACCAATGGTATCAGGGTGGGTCTTTGGCTGTTGCTTGCTTGTGTGCCTGTGCCACTCTTTTCCAGGCAGGTCTTTGGTTGGGGCCTATGGGCTCAAGTGCCTAGGGTCAGGCAGGGCCCAGGCTGGACCTGCCTGAAGCTGCTCTGGTCCACACCCTCTCAAAATGTGTTTTGCAGATGCCTTGCATCCTGAACATCCTGAATGCTCTATTGTAATGCAAATTACTAGGCATTGTGAAACCAGATTCAGTAGATCTGAAATGGGAGTGAGGTATTTGAAAAAGGCTAAAGGTACTTGTACATCAAAGTTTGAGAACTTCCAGCATGTAGAAGTGGTATTTAATGTGAGGAGACAAAGCACCGAGTGAATGAAACGTAAAAGGCATGGTCAGGATGTTGACATAAAGCAAAGATTGCCCATTTAATAAGTAGAGTATTTCAGAGCTGGGAAACTGGCATTTGGAAATAATTCTTCAAAAGTGAATATTTTCTTGTGCCTCACAATGTGGTCTAATATCCCCCAGGAAGTTTCCTCATTTGTAACCAGATATCTAACATTCCTATAACCCAGTCAAGTTCATATATAAATGTAACCATTAAAGGGTGCAGTGCTTGGCAGGTGTACATCATGGTGACTTTGTATATTTTCTCCACAGTGAAGTCACCAAGAATTCATTGGAGAGAATCCTTCCACAGCTAAAATGTCACTTCACTTGGAACTTATTCAAGGAAGAGGGCATCTTAAGTCATCTAGAAGACAGAGTGTGTAACCAGATTCATTTGCTAAGCACTGAATTCAAAGCCACAATGTACAACTTGTTGGCCTACCTGAAACATCTACAAGGTCAAAATGAGGCAGCCCTGGAATGCTTACAGCAAGCTGAAGAGTTAATCAAGAAAAAACATGCTGGGAAAGAAGAAATCCGAAGTCTGGTCACCTGGGGAAACTATGCATGGGTCTACTATCACATGGGCCAGCTCTCAGTTGCTCAGACTTATGCTGATAAGGTAAAACAGGTCTGTGCAAAGTTTTCTAATCCTTACAGTATTGAATGTCCTGAGCTTGACTCTGAGGAAGGATGGACACAACTGCAGTGTAGAAGAAATGAAAGGGCGAAGGTGTGCTTTGAGAAGGCTCTGGAAGAGAAACCTGACAGCGCAGAATTCTCCTCTGGACTAGCAATTGCAATGTACCGCCTGGATTATAAGCCATGGAGGCAGTTCCCTGCCAATGCTCTGAGGCAGGCTATTGAGCTGAGTCCAGAGAATCAATATATCAAAGCTCTCTTGGCCCTGAAACTACAGAAAATAAATGAAGCTGAAGCGGTACAACTGATTGAAGAGGCCCTGGTGAAGGCTCCTCACCAAACAGATGTCCTACAAAGTGCAGCCAAATTTTACAGAAAAAAAGGTAATTTAGACAAAGCTATTGAATGCATTCTAAGGGCCTTGGACTCCACTCCAAACAATCGCTACCTCTATTCCCAAATTATACGCTACTACAAGGAAAAAGTAAATCAAGTGCAGAATACAGGAGAATCTGAAGCCCAAGGAGATAGAGAGAAGATTGAAGAACTGAGAGCATTAATTACTGACTATAAAAATAAAGTTGAGAAGATGCCACATTTTCTGAATGCACCCTGTGATCTCACTGAGTTCAGGAAAGCAGAAGAATGCTATCAGAGAGCTTTCAGCAAGGAGCTTCCCAGTGCTGAGAAGCAACAACTTAACACCAGCCATGGCAACATTAAGGAATATGAAAGGAAGTCTGAAGACACTACAGTCAAAAATTACTTAGAAAGTTTTCCTAAAAGCAAAAAATCATCTGAGAGGGATGAGACAAGTTATGTTGCTGAAATATAACACAGCTGTAAATCTGCCTCCAAAAAATGCACCAAATTCTTGCTACCTACAAGCTCAGTGAGGATCTGCTACAAGCTACAGAATGTTATGAAAATAAACTGGACCATCTACTAAAGGACCCCTTCAGGTATAGGCAGTGTGTTCCCGCCAGCTCCCCAGCATCTGAGCCTGAAGGTGGCAGTGAGGAAATGCGCCAGAATGCAGGCAGCTCCACTCCCAGCGAGCTTCCGCATTCCTGACCGGGAACAAAAAGGAAGAAGAGAAGCACAGCATCCAAAGGCCCAGTATGGTGGTTGTGATGGGGAGAAAGCTGGGGAGACAGGAAGCCCCCAACCTGCGGTTGTTAAGCACAGTGTTCTTGTTTGTTGCTTTCAAGTACATTTTTAAATTGTAGTTTTCTCAGGCTTGGGATTTAGCTCAGGGGTTCCACTGCCTGCCTCACAAGCGCAACATCTTGGAATTTGATCCCTGGTTCCCCTCTCCCCACAAAGAGTAGTTTTCTCATGTTCTGTGCATCCCAGCCACACAGCTCTCTGTACAGCTGGTCTTACTGCCAGTCACTAGTAGCTCAAGGCTGCCATACAGCTTATTTTTTCTCATTTTTCACTCATTTGTCATAAAATCCCCATCTGTCCTTCTGTTCAAGGGTAATACATGGCAGTGGCCTTCCAACCAAATCTTCAATCTCTTCTTTTGTCCCATTTCCATCCAGCCTTCTGAGCCTACAGGATTAACTTTTGTGTAACCTTAGAATGGTCTTTACATCTTACTATTGGCTTAAGCTATATCTGTATTGTTTTGTGTTTTCATTTTTGTTTTTTACAATACTGGAGATTGAACCCAGGAACTTAGTACTGAGCTATATCCCCAGCTTTATTTTATTCTTTTTTTTTTTTTTTTGAGACAGGGTCTTATTAAATAGCTAACTTGTACTCCTGCCTCAGCTTCCCATGGTGCTAGGATTACAAGTGTGTACACCCACACATGGCTTTATGTATGGTCTTAATACTAATGCTACAATAAAAATAAAAATTTCAACTCACAGTAGAGTTAATTGTGTAGTTTGTGTGTAGACTAAGACAGTAATATCAATTCTCAACATTTCTTCTACTAAGGATGATGAGTAATTGCCAAGACATTCTGTGCTTTTTTTTTTTTTTTTTTTTTTTTTTTTTTTTTCTGTACTGGGGATCGAACTCAGGACCTTGTACTTGTGAGGCAGGAACTTGTGAGGAACCACTGAGCTAAATCCCCAGCCCCATGCTATTCTTAACTTGTCCATTTTAACTCCCCCATTATGGCTGACCATCTCTCCTAAAACCAGCCTGTCCTTAGCCTACTGAAACTATGACTCAGTCTGCCCCGGTAGCCTCATCTGTGCCCAGTTAGCAGCTGCTGCTATTGAAGAGATTGCTGAGCACCCAAGAGCACCTGAGAAAATGCCTCCCAGGAGCCTGTGAGGGTTACCAATACTAGACTAGCCTCTGGATAAGCACTCACCAAAGCATGTAGGGGCCCCATCAAAACTGCCAGCATCTGACACATTGAGCTTCATTTCATTCAAGTAAACTCTAGGTTTGGATAATAAGGGTCTCAAACTCATTGGAAACAGTCTCCTTGGCCTTTAAGATTTTCCTTTATAGTCTATATTTGATTCATTTATGATTATAATTTCTAGTCATAGGATGTAAACAAGAAAACAAAAGTATATAAATATGATTAGAATTTGAATAATTTCCTCTCAAGTTATTTCGCCCTAGACTGGGGATTAATATAGTTATAATTTCTGAAATGATTCACTGGTTGGTTTAACATCTATCTGGAAATTTGTTCATAGGTTTGTGAGTAGTAGAAAGACTATGACCATAGATGAATTTGTCTCTCTGGATTTAGATATTAAAACCCATACCAAGAACCCACACAAAGCAACCCTGTAGTTCTCCAGATAACATATATATATTTAGCTGCAACAATTTCCAAACACAACTTGCCAGACCTGCTAGGGATTTTTGAGTTCTGCCAAATACCATATTAAAAGGAAAATTAATATGTGATGGTAACTACAATTCGTAATAATTTTTTGAATACTTGAAAACCACAAAAAGGGCCAGTTGAGTTAGCTTAATGGTACCTTGCCTGTCTCAACAAGCACAAGGTCCTGAGTTTGATCCCTAGTACTGCAGAAAAGAAAAAATAAACAAAAAGGAAACTGTGAAAAGAGTTGATTTTTAAAAAAGTGTTCTCACCACAAAAGTGATAGGCATCTGGGCCAGGGATTTGGCTCAGTGATTCCACTTCTTGCCTTGCAAGTGCAAGGTCCCGAGTTCAAGCCTCAGTACCAAAAAAATGGTAGCATCTGAAGTACCGCATATTAAATACATTGATATGGTCATTCCATGATACATACATACATCAAAGCATGAAGCATACTGTAATATATTTACTTATATATAACTTTTACCTGTTCATTAATTTTTAATTAAAAATAGGCTGATGTAAAGGAATGATAGCTTAATAAATAAATTTAGCCTGCAAGCCCAAAACTCTCATGTCAAGTATCCTATACCTATCATTTACATAATAATTCTAATAAGATGGTATATGTAGTGGGACATTTCACTCAACAATACCACAGTTCGTGATTTAAGATATTACGGGACCAAGCATAGTAGTACACACTTGTGACACCAGCTACTTGGGGGAATGAGGAAAGAGGATCACAAGTTTACAGTCAGCTTGGGCAACTTAATAAGCCTCTAACTCAAAATAAAATAAATTTAAATTTAAAATCTAAAAAGGAGGCTGAGGCTGTAGCTCAGAGGGTCAGTGCTTGCCTAGCATCACAAGCCCCTAAGTTTAGTTCCCCAGCAGCCCCCCCAACTCACACCACCCCCAAAGAATGATGGTCAAAAGGAGAAAAAATCCACCAAGACAAATTTCACCACATGTGAAAAACACTGTGCCATCTCAAGGACAGTGGTTGCTAGGTACTAAAATTTTCAGTGACATATACTGGAAACAACTTGTAAATAAGCTTGAGTTTATAAGGTAATGGATTGCACATTTGAGTGTATGGAGCACAACACACCTTTAACTATAGTGTCTCTTTTAATGTTCCCTAGGTTAGGAAACATGGCACAAATTGTCTCCTCTATATATATATAGTCATATAGAAAGGAAAGCACAATTTATAGATTATTTTTCATGATATAATAAACTATCCCAGAGTTTATGACTTATGATAATGATTTTATTTGCTTAAAATTTTGTGTGTGTGCATGTGCACATGTGTGTGTGTGTGTGTGTGTGTGCACACGTGCACACACACCACTGGAGACTGAAACCAGGGTCTTCACATTGAGCTGACCCTCAGCCTTTTATACTATTTTTTAAAATTTTGAGACAGAATCTCACTAACCTGCCCAGGCAGTACTTGAACTTGTGATTCTCCTGCCTCAAACTCCCAAAATGTTCGGCTTACAGGGGTGTTCCAAATGCCAGTCTGTCTGAGAATTCTTGAGTTAAAAAGATGGGCAGCTCACTCAGCCAAATGATTCTTCTGCTAGTTTTACTTAGCATTGTTTTTATGGTCTAGTTGATCTAAAATGGTCTTACTCCCATGTGTTGTGGTTGGTTCTGAATACTGGCTAGGTCTTTTCCTTCACAGAGCTACTCTTCCCCAAGAATGCAAGCTTAGGCTTTTCATATGCCTCACTCTGGTCACTGAATAATAAGAGAGAACTAAAACCACCAGTCTTGTAACCTGAGCTCAGAACTCTCCCAATGTCATTTCTGCCACTTTCTGTCCAAAAAGACACTTGTCAAGGCTAGCTTAGCTTGAAGGAGATACAAAAAAATAGATTCCAACTCTTAATGGAAAAAGTGGTAAGGTAAAAAAGAATATAGTAACAGGAAAAGGAGAAGTTGTACCCATTGTTTCCATCACTTGTAAACAGGCTATCTAGGAGTTAAACATGTACTAGATATGTGACCATAGATTTTTTTTAGCTTCATCCTTAAAAGAGATTTTAGAGATCATCTGGGTTAATTATTCATGTACAATATGGTTCTGGACCACTAGCATCAAGATTACCCAAAAATCTATAAGGGGTGCAAATTCCAGGAACCCACCCCTACTCCTCCTGAATAAAAACTCTGAGGATGGAACCCATGAATCAGGGTTTTAACAAGCCCTATAAGTGATGCATACAAAAGTTTGAGATCTAAAAGACAGTTTTCAAAACTGATTGTACATGAAAATCACCTGAAAGCCTTTTTAAAATATGAATGACTTAGCCATCACTCTAGGAGTCTGATCAAAGTGATCAGAAATGAGGCTTAGGCATTTGTTTGAATAATGAGGAAACTCGGAGCTACAGAGGTTAAATGACTTTTCAAGGTCACACAGCTAGGGAGTAAGAAAGTAACTGGTTCCAGATTTCTCACCAGCAGCCATGAAGTAAAGAATTTCTGTGCTTCTAGAATACAGTTTTTTTCCCTGTTTACACATTTTTGGTTTTTTGAGGCACAAATTCCAAAAGAGCTAAGAGAATGAAACCATGTTCCCTAACTTTTCAAACTTCATTTGCTTTCAGCACCAATTTCAGAGGTTGCACAGTAAGCAGTACATTCCCATTATCTTTGCTATAGATAACACCTCTGTGTGTAGCTGTACTGGTATTGAATGATTACACTGTATTTTAGGAACCTGGAAGTTGCTGTTGTGTATCTCAACCTGTTTAAAATGACTGACCCATTACTCGGGCTGGCATAGTGTCTTATGGGTGGTCTTTTGACATCAGAGGGATGAAAATGCCACCCACATGCCATATTAATGCTATCCTTTTCTAAATATGAGTCCATGATGAGCCATAAATACTCATTACTCATGGACAGACCACCAACTGCTTCATTTTTCTTGACCTCCAATCACCTATCCCCATGCATTGGGCCACTCTGCTTCCTCCCATAAATACTGTTAAACTCTGTTCTTAAGGAATAGTGTTCAGACCAGGTCTCCCTCCACATGGTTGTCTCCAGAATTAACTGTTCCTCTTTTTGAAAAACTCATCTCGTTGATTGACTTATTAGACAGCAAGAAAAACGATCCTAATTTGATAACGTCTTCCTGCTCTATTCACTCTGCTGATTTATGCAGTGAGCCTGCCTATAAAACAGCAGCCCTTTTCTGGGGGTCAGTTTCATTTAATACCCAAGCTACCTTCCAGAGAAGCTTGTGTGTTAGCACAAGGGGCAGATGCACAGTCATGCACTTGGTTCACTGGCACTGATTGCAACTAATTGGGAAAATTGAAAACAGAAAATCAACAGCAAAAATATACCCTTCATATGGGTACTTAGCACCTATTGAGAGGATCAGCAACTAATTGAAAATTGAAAACAGAAAATCAACAGCAAAAATATACCCTTCATATGGGTACTTAGCACCTATTGAGAGGATCAAAAGTATTCTTTCAGAGTGTGCCTTTCCTTCACAACCCAGAAAGTAAAAATGGCATGTGTTAGGGAGGATTCATCCATAGCAACGCAAAGGAAAGGCTCTCTGCTTATCACCAAGGCAACAGGGCGCTATTGTTTATTCACTGGCCAAAGGAGCCAGGGAAGGAAATGAGATCCTGCTCATGTTTGGTTCACTGAAATAGGAATTCTGATGAGGAAGAAAAAATTCACAGGGCACCCTTTTGTGATTTTCAAAGCATTGCACAGACTAGAGATAACATATGTGTGACTGAGATTGATTCTCTTAAAATAATTGGATCAGCTGATTTTCTGTAAAAACTGCTTATTCCCCCAATGTCACAGCAGTCAGTACAAATGAACCTTCCCTACTTC